AAGGAGGGGGCAGTGTTGCATCAGCGAGGTCACATGACTAGTGTCACGCCACGTTTCTAGAAATATTCTCTACCTTGGCGAATGCTCTAGCGTTTACTAGATATAGGGTAGTCTGGTATATAAAAGAGGGTGATAACGTGACGGAATAATGTGTCTGTAGACAGTGAGTAATTGATCTGCAGTCAGAGAGTATTATTGAGCACGTTCATTGTTATAGCGTTTGTTTTAGCGCGATTGTTGAAGTTGAGTGTGTCGGTAAAGTTATATTCGGAAAGAATAAACCAGTTTTATTAAGTAAGGACTTGTGTCGCTAAAGTTTCGTCGGAACGAAGTTACGGAAAGTTAATTAACAAACGGAGACGTAACAGTATGCTTAATCAATACAATGGATCAATACCCATGATGTATCGTCAGTAGTGACGACATACTAGAGATTTCATCCATGTCAGAATTAGGATACATACTAAAATTAAAAAGTACCGTAGACATGGAGTCAAAATAGGGATTTATAGCTTGAAAAAATAATGTAGACACTATTTTCAGCCTATTTTTTTCACTTTTTTTTACAGTCCCTAGTTGTAGCCTTGAAAATATGATCTTTGCATTTTTATTCAACTTGTTTCTTTACTTTTTTGGCGATCCTTATTCCCCTTGTTAACTTAAAAAAATTAATTATCTTGTGGTAATAGTGGTAGTAGGTGTTTTGCCAATAGTGAGGTAATTATTTTTAGAAATTTTTCTTTTAGTCCTTATTTAGCTAGTGAAGTAAATAAATTAGTTAGGTTTCATCAAACAACCATAATTTGTGTTTTACTTCCAATTTCACTATTTTGATGGGAGAGTTGGGCAACTCTTTGTATGTTGTTTGTCCGTATTTCTTTTATTTGTGACTAAGGCGTATGATCTTACCTGAGATGATTATTATTGTGTAAACGGTATGTTTATATCAGTTTGATATTGTGTATTTTGTACTTGTACATATTTGTGATGTTCCTTAGTCCAAATAATTTATTTTTCATTTCCTTGTATTGGAAAATCCTTCATGCTTCGCACAGTCATTTTCGCTACAAGTGCAACAGGTTGACTTGTGCGTTCGAGGACAGCTTCTAATGCTGTGCTTTGCTTGGTAGAGGGGCTACGCCTATAGGTTATGATCCCCCCTCTTGAGCCATCCATAGGTCACATGGCAAATTTGGTCTTGCTAGCTCCAAACCGTTTGGACAAGTTCGCGGGTAAACAAACAAACCCACATCCCCTGTGTACACCTTCTCTTGCTAGTCTTTTGATGATGACTATTCCTATCTCAGGTTTACTCGACCAATGCTGATTATCGAAAGGTACTTGGTACACCTGTAATAATTATGTTTAACGGGTGTGTTGGCATACCGCTGTGCCACTGGGGAGCATAATAATAGGTAGGCAAACAATGATTTATAAGAATAAGGAAGGATTTTATTGATGGTGGAACATACTGTATATTTCAACAGAACATTGGTCTGTCTTCTTTAGGTTGTTGTCATGTCTTTTCAATCGACGTCATCTTGAGAATGATTATTATTCCAATACTATTTGCCGATTGGTGCTTTAGTTTTTTTTTTTAAGTGCGAACAACACAAGGAACATTTGATGTAAACAGCGTGTTTTTCTCATGTTCGGGGTGGGGATGGGGTTAAGACGCCTGAAAGCTAAGCCCTTGGAATCATGTAACACAAAGTTTTATAAATAATTGAGTTTTAAACAGACAAGATAATTAATAATATTAAAAATAATAAATAATAAAGAAATAGAATCTCTTTGAGTATTCAAAGGTAAAGCCGAACTCTAGGTTACTAGGTAATTACACTGTAAATAATTTAAATAAACATCTTAATTAACTATATATTTTTCCGCAAGCTTTCGTCCTCAATACCGAAGTTCTCTCCACCTGTCGAAGGCTTTAATATTGGGTCAAAAAGCTTGAGAAAGAATAAAAAAAATCTATAGAAAGTTCGTTGCGAGGTTTTTTATCCTACTTTAGGAGCCTGAAAGATGTTCTATGCTCTTTGTCTACTACGGTACTATACTTTTAGTAATACAATGGTAAACTTAATTCCTGCAATAAATCCTTATTTAATGACTTTC